ATGCTTCTGGATTCTTGAAACGAAGCGCTTCGTTAAGACGCTGGAAGAAGTCCACTGGCATTGTATAAAGATAGATTGATGCTGATTCATCTCTTGTTAAATGTGTATTTTGTCTACGTTTCTCCATGGCTTCATTGACATATTCTTCCACTTTAGGCACGATATGGACAACACCTTTTACTGCGTTTTCTAGTGATTTCACAAGCACATCTTCGTACCCGAATATTGGATTGCCATTTGCTTCTTGAAATTCAGCACAAGTGCTGGTCGCAAAGCGATTGCTAGTTCTCTGCAAATTTTCTTGTGTCATATGATTACAAATATCTTATTGGATCACCTTATTTACTAAAAGAAAAAGTAAATTAGCTGTGATTCATTTCCTAATCCTAAAGAAACTATGACGAAATTCAACGCTAATTTTTGCTCTGAACTTTTAATGGTAAATGTCTAAGTTCTTTTCTGTTAAACTTTATACGCACAAAAAGTGATCCTCTAGAAACAATTAAAACTATAGTCTTTTCTAATGTACATCTATCGACAACTCTTCCAGAATTCTCATCACATTTATTAATAATCGCTAACTGTTATCCGGCGTTTGCTTCGTCTGAATGATTATCAATGATGGAGTCTTATTCTCACATCAAGTCCTATTTTTTTATATTCACAGACACTCATATCATGACAAAATAAAATCTAAAAAATCTGTTATGAAGAAATAATTACCTTTTCAGTAGCATAAATTATCAGAAGGACTTTATCTATTACTTTATTTATCACTATTTAGTAATAGTTATATACTGAAAAAGTCGGTTTTTTCCCTGCGCTTATTTATGTGAATCATGCGTGTCCATAGTAAAGTGGGCGATTTCGCTCATGTAATTACTCAACTATAATATATTAAATTTTGTATACGTAAAGAATCTTTCCTCTGATAAATCACATATACGAATGAAAAAATACATCGAATAACTAATACTCGTAGTTCTTATCAATGACAGCGTAAAATTGGCTTGTGAAAAACAAACGCCCAAGAACGTTCCTATAATAACCTCAATATACACAGCACATCTACCATTTATTCTTATGTTGACAATTTTTTCCAAGAGAGATAGTCTTTGTGTTTTTCTTATGCTCGTTTCTTCGTCAAGGAAAAAAAACAAGCGAAAAGTCGTTACAAAAGCAGTCTTTCAATTATCTTACACCTTATTTCTCAATGCTCGTACACAAAAATAATGTATTCAAAGGCATGAAATTCAAAAGTTAGATGTTAAACACATAATTTATCCAAGAAGGGTGCAACCGGTGTATCTAGGATACTTTGTACACGGATTTGCACACGAGTATATCCCAACTCTAAGCACATTTGTTCCAGGTGAAACTCGATAAGCTCTATCGATCTCAATCATTAAAAAACTTTCACCCACTCTTACCCATCACCCAAACCCATCCGAATCCCCATAAACTACAGCTTTTATTTATGAAGTCTCATGAGTGTTATCTCTAGATGAATTTGCACAGGTCTTACTGCATTTACTGTATGATTCGGATGAGTTTAGGTGGCAATTTAAATGAAGAAACGAAGCCGTGTGTGTTTTTCCGAAATCTTCATGTTTTTTTTTTGCAATTTTTTATGGGTAGGGAAGGATATTTCTCGGAATGTTCTTTTTAGAATAGATAGAGCTCACCGAGTTCCACCTGAAACGAATGTGATCAGAGGTGGAATACACTCGTGTGCGAATCCATGTCCAAGATATTCTACATTATGCTTTCGCATACCCGACGAACAAAAATATTTCGCCTAATATAAAAAAGAAAAAAAAATGTTATAACTTTGCAGGCGCAGCGATGCGAAGAATCGAAAAAGGTGAAATATTTCTCTTTATCACTCACGTGGAAAAAGTACATAGGCTCACAAAACTGACTAATGAATAATAAGATCGATAATATTGAGGATGTCAGCATCGACACATTTTAAAGTCTGCATAATTGATTTGAAAAATTTTAGACTCAGTTTAGGAGATGGAATTAGAAAAAGTTAGTTTGAAAATGAGAAGCATAAAACAGATTTGTAAATTTTGTTTATTCTGATAAAAACTTGCTCGCCTCATGTCAGACCACTTTGAATAAAAATTGAGTATCGACTTTTCTTCATACCTCTCGATGAGTGGATATTCATTTTTTCTAGTTTTATATCTATTGTAATATAGTATGGGGAAAGAGAAACGAATTTGAATCAGAAATGTACATCACAGATGATTCAAGAAAATATTTTTCTCAGACTATGACAAATATTCATTTGAAAATTGAAAGATTCACAAGATTCGTATTGAAATTCACTTGATTGGAGGACTCTTGAAACATTCGTTGGATCATGTGCCGCTGTATGATATTTATTAGTAAGATCTTGACTATTTATGTTTTCGAACAAATTCGATCAGATTTCGCGATAAATGGCTTTCATGATTGATCTTCATTTGATTAAGATGCAGAGCACATTGGCACTTCAAACTTAGAACAACTTTCCGTTTGAATAATTCGATCAATTGAGATTTTTCCGTACAATCTAAGAGCGTCTTTCCTCGTTGATTAATAAAATCTGAATGAAATCGATTGGCACTCAGCAATATGCTCAATATTGCTTCTGCGATCGTCAACTGTGAATCCGAAATGTTTCGAAAGAGAACACATACAAAGGAATATCTCCATTCCTATCAATATAGCATCAACATCAAAGTGATAATCGATCAATAACTTGATAGAAATCTTAAAAAAATGAATGCAGACATGAATATCCTTTTAAAAATGATCTTTATCGAGGATGCTCTTTCAAAACAAATCTCTGATACAAACATTCATGTTTGATTATTCATGACATCTGCTCCAAGACCCTCGTAAGAGGCTAAACGCTTCTTTCAATGGTATTTTTTCTTCTTTTCTGCTATTACATGCCAAATATGATGGGTATTGCACAACACTTTCACACAACTTTGAGAAATGAATGACTCGGATTGGAATACAATGGTGATTCCTCTGAAATTTACTTGGCGACCAACCGAACATGAGTTGAACAGTCTCAGAAACTTAGTTAGTCTTCGAATGGCTCAACGAGAACTGATACCAGTCGAACAGGAAGGCGACACCAAACCGTCAGAAATTATCGATAATTTTCTGTATCATGGCAATCTGCAGCACGCAATGAACACAAAATTACTTGAAGAGCTCAATATTCGATGCATTGTCAATGTATGCGATTGCAAATTGAATCAAGACATCCTTGATCGATGTCATGTCCTGTGGATCAATGTAGAAGATGATACTTATACGGATATAGTTGAATATTTCGCAATGACTAATCGATTTTTGCAATCTTGCTGTAAGGAAGGCCAAAAAGTATTGGTTCATTGTCAAATGGGTGTATCTCGGTCTTCTTCGATCGTTCTCGCTTACTTGATGAAGTAGACACCAGTTTTTGTGATTTAATCCAAAAGTTCTCCTCATTTTTCCATCGATAGGTACCATTACGGCTCTCTGGATAAAGCTTATCAATATTTGGTTGGAAGAAGGCGTTGTGCGGAACCCAATCTTGGCTTTCTCTTACAACTGATTCGATATGAAAGGGAATTGCTCGACGAAAATAAACCCACAGACAGACAGAGTATTGACAAGGAGAAAAATTCAAATGAAGGCTCAGCAATTTTGACCAATACGTTGAATTCATCGCATTGTAGTCTGTGTTGTTGGCCATCCAGGCGCACTGTCAACATGTGAAAATAGACGAAAAACGAATCAATATGTTCTTCGTTATAGTCATTGATAATGATCGAGGACAAAACACGTCTCTGTAAGAAAGAACACCTTTTCTATTCAAGATTAAAAGCATTTGAACTCAGAATCGAGTAAACGGAAAATACATCTGCTGCTATCTCTCTTCAAGGTTTTCTCTCAGATTAATCACTGGAATTATTCTGTCTCAACTTAACACTTGCCTTCCATGTTTTTAAAATATGCTTTTTCTTTCGTTTTTGTTTAAAATCTGTATGTTGAAAAAATTTCCTCCACTGTAGTCACAGAAAAGAAAGCAACAAAAAATGAGTTCTGTTTTCACATCGATTATACGTATTTGCATCACAAAAAGAACGACTCACAGTGAGCAGTAACGTATGACGTCAAAAGAAGTAAACCAAAACGATTCCGATCAGATTGAGCACATCCAAAACATTATTATCGTTTGATTGACTAATCCTATTAGCGACAACGATTCAAACTATCGTCATTCAGTTACACAACTTCGAAGCAATCTTTCGGATGTCAACATGTTCACTGAATTGATCCATGTATTGAGTTCATTGTTGGCAATGTCGACACCAAAGTATGCGAAGTTATTACAGGAGCAGTTGGTACCATATATACATGACATCTCAAACATCGATTCGATTTTGATCTTTTCTGGTGACAAAGATGAATGTGTGAGTAATGGATGTACAAATGATCCAAAATAAAAGATGTTTCCAGCAAAATCACACAAATTTATCAAAGAAATGCTATTGACCTTCCAGTTTGGAGATAGGCACATAAAAGACTTTGTTCACTACCACTGTAATCTTGGTTCGAAATTAAAAACAAACTNCGAATAACTAATACTCGTAGTTCTTATCAGCAACAGCGTAAGATCGGCTTGTGAAAAACAAACACCCAGGAACGTTCCTATAATAATCTCAATATACACAGCACATCTACCATTTATTCTCGTGTCGACAATTCCTTCCAAGCAAGATGTTCTTTGTGTTTTTCTTATGCTCGCTTTTCGTCACGAAAAAGGAAACAAGCGAAAAATCGTTGCAAAAACAGTCTTCTGGTTATCTTACACCTTATTTCTCTATATTCGTACACAAAAATAATGTATTCAAAGACGTGAAATTCAAAAGTTGGATGTTAAACACATAACTTATCCAAGAAAAGTGCAATCGGTGTATGTAGGATACCTTGTACACGGATTCGCACACGAGTATATTCCAACTCTAAGCACATTTGTTCCAGGTGAAACTTGATAAGCTCTATCGATTCCAAACATAAAAAAGTTTTCACCCACTCTTATCCATCACCCAAACCCATCCGAATCCCCATAAACTACAGCTTTTATTTATGAAGTCTCATGAGTGTTGTATCTAGATGAATTTGCACAGGTCTTACTGCATTTACTGTATGATTCGGATGAGTTTGGGTAGCAATTTAAATGAAGAAACGAAGCCGTGCGTGTTTTTTCGAAATTTTCATGTTTCTTAGGTTTTTTTGCAATTTTTTATGGGTAGGGAAGGATATTTCTCGGAATGTTCTTTTTGGAATAGATAGAGCTCATCGAGTTCCACCTGAAACGAATGTGATCAGAGTTGGAATATACTCGTGTGCGAATCCGTGTCTAAGATATTCTGCATTATGCTGTCGCACACCCGATGTACAAAAATATTTCGCCTAATATATAAAAAGAAAAAATGAGAAAAAAAATGTTATAACTTTGCGGGCGCAGCGATGCGAAGAATCGAAAAAAGTGAAATATTCGTCTTTATCACTCACGTGGAAAAAGTGCATAGGCTGACAAAACTGGCTAATGAATAATAAGATCGATAATATTGACGATGTCAGCATCGTCACATTTTAAAGTCTATAGAATTGATTTGAAAAATTTTAGACTCAGTTCAGGAGATGAAATTAGAAAAAGTTAGTTTGAAAATGAGAAGCATAAAACAGATTTGTAAATTTTGTGTATTCTGATAAAAACTTGCTCGCCTCATGTCAGACCACTTTGAGTAGAAATTAAGTATCGACTTTTCTTCATACCTCTCGATGAGTGGAGATTCATTTTTTCTAGTTTTATATCTATTGTAATATAGTATGGCGAAAAAGAGACAAATATCGAAATGAGAGTACATCGCAGATGCTTCACAATATACTTTGCACAGACTATGACAGATATTCATTTGAACGTTGAAAAATTCGTATTGAAATTCACTTGATTAGGTGACTCTTGAAACATTCGTTGGATCACGTGCCGCTGTATGATATTTATTAGTAAGATCTTGACTATTTGTGTTTTCGAACAAATTCTATCAGATTTCGCGATAAATAGCTTTCATGATTGATCTTCACTTGATCAAGACGCAGAGCACATTGGCATTTCAAACTCAGGAAAACTCTTCGTTTGAATAATTCGATCAATTGAGAATTTTCCGTACAATCTAAGAGCGTCTTTCCTCGTTGATTAATATAATCTGAATGAAATCGATTTGTACTCAGCAATATGCTCAATATTGCTTCTGTGATCATCAACTGTGAATCCGAAATGTTTCGAAAAAGAACACATACAAAGGAATATCTCCATTCCTATCAACATAGCATCAACATCAAAGCAATAATCGATCAATAACTTGATAGAAATCTTTAAAAAATCAATTCAGACATGAATATCCTTTTAAAAATGATCGTTATCGAGGATGCTCTTTCAAAACAAATCTCTGATACAAACATTCATGTTTGATTATTCATGACATCTGCTCCAAGACCCTCGTCAGAGAGGCTAAACGCTTCTTTCAATGACATTTTTTCTTCTTTTCTGCTATTACATGCCAAATATGATGGGTATTGCACAACACTTTCACACAACTTTGAGAAATGAATGACTCGGATTGGAATACAATGGTGATTCCTCTGAAATTTATTTGGCGACCAACCGAAAATGAGCTGAACAGTCTCAGAAACTTAGTTAGTCTTCGAATGGCTCAACGAGAACTGATACCAGTCGAACAGAAAGACGACACCAAACCGTCAGTAATTATCGATAATTTTCTGTATCATGGCAATCTGCAGCACGCAATGAACACAAAATTACTTGAAGAACTCAATATTCGACGTATTGTCAATGTATGCGATTGCAAATTGAATCAAGACATCCTCGATCGATGTCATGTCCTGTGGATCAATGTAGAAGATGATACTTACACGGATATAGTTGAATATTTCGCAATGACTAATCGATTTTTGCAATCTTGCTGTAAAGAAGGCCAAAGAGTATTGGTTCATTGTCAAATGGGTGTATCTCGATCTTCTTCGATCGTTCTCGCTTACTTGATGAAGTAGACACCAGTTTTTATGATTCACTCCAAAAGTTCTCCTCATTTTTCCATCAATAGGTACCATTACGGCTCTCTGGATGAAGCTTATCAATATTTGGTTGGAAGAAGGCGCTGTGCGGAACCCAATCTTGGCTTTCTCTTACAACTGATTCGATATGAAAGAGAATTGCTCGACGAAAATAAACCCACAGACAGACAGAGTACTGACAAGGAGAAAAATTCAAGTGAAGGCTCAGCGATTTCGACCAGTACGTTGAATCCATCGCATCGTAGCTTGTGTTGTTGGCCATCCAGACGTACTGTCAACATGTGAAAATAGACGAAAAACGAATCAATATGTTCTTCGTTATAGTCATTGATCATGATCGAGGACAAAGCACGTCTCTGTAAGAAAAAAACATCTTTTCTATTCAAGATTAAAAGCATTTGAACTCAGAATCGAATAAACTGAAAATACACCTATTCTGCTGCTATCTCCCTTCAAGGTTTTCTCTCAGATTAATCGCTGGAATTATTCTGTCTCAACTTTAACACTTACCGTCCATGTTTTGAAAATATGCTTTTTCTTTCGTTTTTGTTTATAAAATCTGTATGTTGGGAAAGGTTCCCCCACTGTAGTCACAGAAAAGAAAGCAACAAAAAATTAGTTCTGTTTTCACATCGCGATTATACGTATTTGCATCACAAAAAGAACAACTCAAAGTGAACAGTAACGTATGACGGTAAAAGAAGGAAACCAAAACGATATCGATCAGATTGAGCACATCCAGAACATTATCATCGTTTAGTTGACTAATCCTATTAGCGACAACGAGTCAAACCATCACCGTTCACTTAGACAATGTCGACACCAAAGTATGCGCAGTTATTACAGGAGCAGTTGGTACCATGTATACATGACATCTCAAACATCGATTCGATTTTGATCTTTTCTGGTGACAAAGATGAATGTGTGAGTAATGGATGTACAAATGATCCAAAATAAAAGATGTTTCCAGCAAAATCACACAAATTTATCAAAGAAATGCTACTGACCTTCCAGTTTGGAGATAGGCACACCAAAGACTTTGTTCACTACTACTGTAATTTTGTTTCGAAACAATAATCGTACTNTTCTTTGTTTGATAATAAACTTTTAGTGTATGTACTAATCGTTTTAAATAACCATCCGGATATTCTAAATGACATAAAATATCAAGATATCCCACCCACCAAGATCCAAAATCATCTGTTGTATTTTGTGATTCAGAATTCTTAGGATTGAAAATTTGACAGATGGTGAAAGATTCAACAACAGTATGTAAATCTTCTATTAAATTCGTGATATTGGTGTAAAGACCTTTGATCTGAAAAGTTGAGAGATGATAACCAATGATAAAATATGAAATTTAAACTTACTTTACAATATCGATTTTGTAATTTTTGCAAATTATCTTGACTATTTTTATTGGAAGTCGAATAAATATAAATTGAATGAACATGATTGAAGTCATAAACTTGAAACGATGATAAAAATTCAGTAAATTTTTCTGAACAGACTACGAAAGTTGTGATAACATTCGTTGTAATGTAATCAAAACATTCTTTTTCGGAAGAGAAATCATGTATATAATGAACTGTTTCAGACAGATTTTGTCGAAGTTTGATAATTGTTCTTGATTGTTCATTAGGATGATCTAACCATAGTAAATGTAATGATTCAAGTTTCATTTCGTCATGAGTAAACAATAAATCTGTCATTTGAGTTATTTCTCGTTCTTAGAAGAAGAAGAAGAAGAAAATGTGTTTTCCTTGAATTTTTTCTGAAGTTATAAATGTCAAGATCTGATCAAGGAAGAAAAATGCTTTCAATCAATGTGTTTTTAGATTGTAAATAAAACTGTTTCCATAGAGACAAACATAAGAAAACCGTTTTTTCTCATTGGTTGACATTCTAGTCGATGAATATTCATCAATAAATTTAATTCGCATAGTGACTGTATCAAAATGAAATTTGGGCAATATTCACCAAATTCTCTTTTTGAAGTTCCAATTGTCTATTTTTTAGTGAACCAAAGCTATCTTAAAACATAATTTATTCTGTGAACAAACATGTTTTCTATCACCTATAGTCCATACATTCAATACAAGACAATTAAGACAACATAACTTGTCTTGTCATTTCATCGAGCAAAAGTACAGATTGTATTTGCGCATTTCTGCAACATTGGTAAAGTGTGTTTCGTAATGAATGATTATCCGAATGTACGCTCTTTTTATGAACGTGCTCTTCAAATTGGACAACAAGTTCCTACCAGAAAGCCATTGCCATCTACAAATGTACCGAAGAAACTTTCAAAAAGCGAGAAACCGATTGTAATTCGTACTGCTTTTTCTTTCATAAAGATGACGTTCATTCGAACGATGTTCTTACTTATGTAGCACGGCTATTGTACATTATATGCAACTTTTTAAAGCAGTGAACGGCTTTATTTAACTGAGAATGCCTCTTATCGCAGAATCTGAACGAGAATAAAAGTATATGTTTGCTATGATTCGATCCACACTCTCACCTTCATTCGCGTTCTTCGTCATGTTCTGTAATGACTACACGTGACTCATTCTCATCCTCTATGTTGGACAAATAAAAGATAAGAATATGATAAATACTCTCTCTTCTTTCGATCTGATTAATCACCATCGAAATTTTTCATGACAAAAAATTAAAATTCGCAATTTGAATACGAATCATCCTAACGTCATCAAACGCACTCATCGAGTCGTATATAAACATCCAGATACGGATGCGAATCTCAATCAAAATGAATCGTCGATATTTTACTATGCTTGCACTCCTTTCTCTTGTTGTTATCGCTTCAACAATGAGCAGTACGTATTGAACTCTCCATAAGTACAACATCGATTAAAGAAATGTTTTCTTTTTCTTTTCAGTTAAACCTGACGAACAAGTCAAAGGCGGATGTCCGCAAGCAGAAAAAGTGTGTCGTGGGTTCGGTGGTGGTGATTTGTGTAATAGTCGTTGCCGACAATGTGGCTACTCACGTGGTGCTTGTGGAGGATTCGGGTGGCAAACTTGTCAATGTCTATAAAATATGAACATAAATGTTTCACTCTTGAATTATGTTAATAAATCTTTAATTGAATGCGAATAAGTAGCCATAAACTTTAAACGTAGTGCGCACTCGCTGCGTAGGAGAATCGTCAGATGGAACGCAAAGAGTATGTTGTTTCGTGTCGTATGCCCGAGGTATATCCTCACTCAAGTAGTGATCTGTGTAACTCACGTAGCTACAGTATTGTGGAAATGCGAGTGAGCCTGTCTATCGTTTTGATACTTTCAATGAGTTGTGAACTCCCTGGAGGCCGGGTTTTCATCGACATATTACCTACACATTTACGTTTGATGGATCATCAATATCAATGTAAGACTCCTATATCGTTCGTTCATGTTGATTGTGATATTTATGATGTCAACAGAGATATTCTCTTTCTGCTGGGTAGTCGTTTTGTTTCAGGTACCATTTTAGTATTTGATGAATTGTTCAATTGTCCTCACTATGAAAAACATGAATTTAAAGCGTTGTTCGAACTTGCGATTGGTACCATTGGGTGCTTTTGGTGATATTAATTTACACCCAACGACTGAGAAATGGCCACAGAGAATTCACTTTCATAGTTGATTTCGATTAAGTCAACAGCGGACATCACAGAAATACATTGCCCGATGATCTTTATTTTAATTTTTGTTGATGTGTTTTTCTTTTTGTCTTTTACATTCTGGTTGATTTCAGTTTACATTAGTTATGAGTATGTTTCTTGAAATGTATATTAAAAAAATACAACGACGCTCTTACTTCATTTATTGATTTTTTTAAACTCAAAAGAGGCAGTATGCAAAGCTTCCCAATTTACGACCAGTAACTCATTCTCTAATTCACTCTTGTGTAATTGTTTTTCGAGAAATAGCGCGTCAGAATAGTGGAGAGACTTTTATCGTGAGAGAACATCACGGAACTTACAAGGACAGTCCCCTTGGTGTATAAATCGCTCCAAACAGCCTATCGGAGTTAAACACTCACCCTTTCAGTATGGTATGACTAATCGATTGGTCATGAAGTTTTGACGCATCCACTTCGTTTCCGCTTCATCGATAAAGAATGTCATATTTTTTCCTATCTTTTCATGTATGTGAAACGTCCATTCAAGCCTGACTTTGATATTACGACAACATGTCAACAGTAAGTCGAATATTAGCATTGATACAAAACCTAGTGGTAAATATTTATGTTTCTAGACTGCGTATATTTGGTTATCACCCGATAGACAGGGTGAATTCGATGTGGAAATTGGTGCTCGTGTCATTGATGTCAATCAAAATCAATTGAAAGTAGTCGATGATAATGGCAAAGTTTGTAAAATTGTTTATTTGTTAGCTTAACTAATACGAAATATCGTTAGGAACGAACTCTTGTCAATAATCCAGCGAATTTCAAAAAGATGCACGCTACTTCCTTTACGGACATTCCCGATATGATTCATCTAGGTGATTTGACTGAAGGAGCTATATGTCGTAACATTCTATTGCGTTACAATAAGGATAAAATTTATGTAAGTTGACTCTCTAAATTCTTTCCAAGGGAAATAAATGTGCTCATTTCAGACGTATATTGGATCGATTTTAATCGCGGTGAATCCATATACACAATTGGATTTGTACAATCAACAGTATTTACGTTCGTATCGAAATCGAAAGTTTGGTGAATTAGAACCGCATACTTTTGCGATCGGTGATAATGCTTATCAAAATATGCTCCGTGAACGAACAGATCCGAATGCAAAAGTTAATCAATGTATTATTATTAGGTTCGTAACGAATAAGTTACAATTGTTGTTCGATTCGAATCTTGATTTATTTCGTTTAGTGGAGAATCGGGTGCTGGAAAGACAGAATCAACAAAACATATTCTTCAATGTTTAGTGGCTAAAAGTGGAACAAAGAAGAATTCCAATATTGAACAACAAATTCTCGAAGCAAATCCAATTATGGAAGGTACGATGTGGAGAAGAACTTCATTGTTTGCTTTCATGATATTCTTTGACATGTAGCATTTGGAAATGCAAAAACAATTCGAAATGATAACAGTAGTCGATTTGGAAAATATATAACAGTGAATTTTGATAGTACTGGTGTGATTGCGAATGCTTATGTCGATCAATATTTATTAGAGAAAATTCGTATAGTGTCACAAGTAAATACTATTGTTTGTATCGAGAGATTCTATTAAAACTTCCCTTCTAGACGAAAGAAGAACGAAATTATCATATATTCTATTGTATATTAGCTGGTTTGGGCAATGAAGAACGGAATAAGTTGAAATTAACCAAAGCAACTGATTATACATATTTAAACAAAGTAAAATATCGAAAGTCGGGGATGATGTGATCGATATATGGTTTTCTAGAGCACACCGACATGTGATACACGTAATGATGCAGAAGAATGGAAAGCTATTCGACATGCATGCAAAGTTTTGATGTTTACCGACGATGAACTCTTCGAAATCTTACGAATTTTAGCAGTCGTGTTACATCTTGGAAACATTCAATATGTTGGTAAATATCGAACCAAATTTCTCATGACAACCTTTTCACGACTACAATGTTTCTTTCAGCACAAAGCGCAAACGGAATGGATAGTGTGGCCATCAAAGATTCTGAATTGATAGAATTTATTGCGTCATTATTAGGAGTAAGAACTATTATACTAACGTGATAGAGATCAACGAATGTTTCTCATTAAGGTGGATGCAAAGCGATTGTCAACTGCATTGATAACGCAAACACTTGAAGTTCAAGAAGGCAAAGTCGCAAGAGCTTTGAATACATCATCTGCTGTTGATGTTCGAGATGCATTTGTCAAAGGCTTATATGGTCAATTGTTCGAATGGTTAATCGAACGACTTAACATTGCAATGAATAATAAAAGCAATGCGAATCGTCAAAATCCATCGGATGGCAAGTTTCGATCCGTCAGTGTTCTCGATATATTTGGCTTCGAGAAATTCGAACAAAACAGGTTCGTAGATGTGTCAAAATCGATCACATTCTCATTGTTTAATATCTAGTTTCGAACAATTGTGTATCAATTGTACAAATGAAGAATTGCAACAGTTTTTCGTTCATCATGTCTTCAAACTTGAACAAGTAAGGCACGGAAAGTAGCATGAATGATTCGTTGAATAAAATATTCTAGGCTGAATACGAGAAAGAAGGTGTCAACTGGAAGGAAATCACATTTATTGACAATCAGGATATTATTGATCTGTTAACACATGGTCAAATGAGTATTATCTCTATGATTGACGAAGAAATGATTGTGCCACAAGGTACCGATCAAACTCTATATGTTAAACTTCAACAACAACATGGAAACAATAAACATTTCATTAGCGAATCATCACGACAGTCACTTCTGTTCGGTGTGAAACATCTTGCCGGTCCTGTTTCATACGATTGTCTTAGTAAGTGATCCATCTAACTTGCAAAGTACATTCCACCATCAGATCTCGACTAATTTTAGATTTTCTTGAGAAAAATCGAGATACATTCAGTAATGATTTGAAGCATGTCTTGGCGAAAAGCAATAATCGTTTGATCAAAGCGATATTTCCGATTGAATCGTTGAATCTGGTAAGTTTTCGATACTGATCTCGCAGATAACTGATTGTAAATCGATTCAGGATGATAAAAAACGCAAACCATCATTAGTAGCACAATTTCGTAAATCTGTCGAAGTTCTTCTCAGTGCTCTTCGACAATGTGAACCATTCTTCATTCGTTGTATTAAACCAAATGAATTCAAAGCTACCCACGTATGTATCGAACTTATTCGGGCGGAGATAAATCTTTTCTTTCGATAGAATTTCGATCGAGAACGTGTCGTTCAACAACTTCGGTATTCCGGTATGATGGAGACAATCAACATCCGTCGAATCGGTTATCCTATCCGTCATGATTTCAATGAATTTGTGCATCGTTATGCTTCAATCGCACCATCTCTCGGACGTATGCAAAAAAAAGGCCGAAGCACGTGATGATCGCAATGATCAACGTACAATTGTGGCGAAGATTTGCGAAATTGCATTAGTTGGTCAAGATTATCAAATTGGAAAGAATAAAGTCTTTTTGAAAGATGAACATGATGCGATGTTAGAACAAGCAAGACAAAAAGTACTTGCTGATAGTATTTTAGTATTGCAAAAGGCCGTGCGTCGATATTATGCACAACGACAATTTGAACGAGCAAAGAAACTCGCCAAATGGCTACAACAATCCTGGCTATGTTACGCTGAACGACGTGCCTATTGTGAAGTAAAACTTATCTTGTTGTTCGATTAAGACTGACTAGATAGAATTTCTTTCGTGTAGATGCGTTTGGGTTTTCGACGTTTGCAAGTATTATATGTGACACAACATATTGATGAAAATCAAAAACCATACATCGAAACAGTTCCTCCTATTCAAGTCTGAATATATATTCTGAAATAAGATGATCTTCTATCGTTGGTATAATATAGACGTTGGCAAAAGATTATGTAGCACGAAAAAATACGAAGCTTCGACCAAAAGCTTTCAGTATTCTACAAGAAAGAGTCGTACAAACTTGGCGTGATGTTCGACATAAACAGCCACGTGTTGACATTGCCAATGCTCATGATAAACGAGCAGGCACATCACGACGTTATGGACGCGATGCGGATGATGTTGAAGATGGTGCAGCAGGAGTAAGTCGAAAGATTTTTTGCACATGTTCATATTTTGAAAATCTGCGATTTAACCTCAGACACAACGTGCATTAGAACCAAAGCCTGATCCGTTTAAGAGTGATGTTTCAAGAAATTCTTTTGAAGAATTCGCTGCCAAGTATTTTCAACATGGTTATGACGCGAAGCATACAAGAACTGAAATTATTCGACCACTTCTTGATCTCAAATCAGGTGTTGATCAAAAAGTAAAACAATTCTGTTCGGTTTCGAATTCTTTTCTATTCATTCGTTACTTTTTCTCCAGGCAGCTGTGGCTACATTTCAGATGATCATGAAGTTTATGGATGATAAAGAAGATATCACGTCACCAACACCGACAAGTTCGAAAAATGACGAGGAAAATCAACGTTTAGAATCACAAGACGATATCATTGTACCTGAACTTTATTCATTAATTGCTCAACAGCACCAAATGAAAGTTGAAAAAGAGGATGACCCGTACGAAAGGGTAAGGTTATCTGGTTCGTATTTGCTTCACTTTTGATTTTGATCTATCTTTTGTAGAAGAACAGCAAAGATAATGGTGCATTCAACAAAAAATTAGCTTACTTGGAAGAACGATTAAAAAAAGAAAATCCGTTTATCGAAGATCGACATTTAACACCCTTAGAAAAGATACAAATGATTACCATGTTAGGCATTGTCCGACCTCGACTAAGGTATTTCATACAACGAATAGTTCTGATCGATATGTAATCGAAATTGTTTTGTTCAGAGATGAAATTCTTTGTCAGATCTGTAAGCAATTGAATGATCATCCAGCTCCACGAAAAAAACCAAGTGGGAATGCAGAAAAAGCTGAACAACGTGAAAGTTCATTGAAGCGAGGATGGTTTCTTCTATGTATATGTTTATACACATTCCCACCTAGTTCGATTGTAAGTTATTTGATGACGAATCGCATTGACAATCCATGGGAATGTCTTCGGGTTATTTAGTTAGTTCGATTTCTTCGAAATTTTATCCAAAATAGTCCATCTAACGTCTCGAAGGTTGCCGAGTTTGCTTTGGAACGATCATATAAAAACGGCAGCCGATATGAACCGTTGAGTATGGAAGAAATCGATGCAATTCAACAAGGATCATCCATACAAATTAGTGCACAGATCATTTTTGGCGAAGAACAAAGATATGTTCGTTGCGATCCGGCGACGACAGCCGAAGAGGTTTGTTTAGAACTCGCTCGACATTTGAATATCAAATCAACATTTGGATGGTCACTATTTGCTGTATGTCAATCAGAAGTGTGTAGTTGTCTTTGATTTTCTCCGAAAGAAATCACTTTGGACATTGTAAGGATGTACGCTTGGCGGCTGTGCCGATTTAGCGTGGTGTAGCTCGGC